GAGAGAGAGAAGAGAGAGAGAGACAGACAGACAGACAGAGAGACAGAGACAGAGACATACGTTTTTGTGTTGTATATATATATATATATATATATATATATATATATATATATATATATATATATATATATATATACACATACATACATACATACATACATACATACATGCACACACACGTGTGTGTTTATATGTTTGTGTTTAGATAGCAATTATTTCTGTTCTGACGATCCCGTCTGGAACGGAGATCCGTTTGTTTTCGAAAGGCGGGAAATCTTTCTCGCCCTTTATGGTGTGATGATTTCAGAGGTATGACAAAATCGAAGTGATGATAATACTGACAAAGTTACCAATAATTATTGTATATTTAAAACCAATTTCATTATCAACAGTGACAAGGGTTTATAGAGTACTCGGCGCAAGCTCTGATTTTTCCGCGCTTTGATTTCTCTTTATAAAATCCTTCTTTTATCCTGTATATATCAAATATATAATTTATTCACATGTTTTCAAGTAAGATAGAACATTGTCCTTTCGTATAAAGAGCTATTTGGCATATGTGAGCCATAAAGTGGCTCGTCGTAGTCAAGGGTGTAAGAACTCTCTTTTAGACCACACCCTACTGTATACATCCCCAAATGGGGTGCACTGGTCTTAACATTTAAAATAGGATCTCTTTCTCTCTTGTCTCTTCACAACTCTATTAACAATATATATTTCATTAAAAGAAGTAGACTACTTGCAAGTCGGTGATCCGGCTTAAAGGAGGGAGATCACGAGACCAGTCCAGTGACAAGCAACGGGAAAAAGTAATGGTACAGTTGGCGACATCATGCACGAGATTAATAAATCGATTTAGCCCATAGCAGCCCGCTGGATTACTTTTTTTTTTTTTTTTTTTTTTTTTTTTGAAAAGTTCAAATGCATCCTTTATTGCACTTAGTTTTCCCGCCGATAACGTTCTATCTGATGGATTACTTACGTTGCCTACGCGGAGGCCTATGTAAGACCGTTTTTTTTCCCAGTTGATATCTCACGGCTGGTAGAAATACCATCATCCATTCAGCTTAAGAGGCAGTAACGTTGTCACTTTAAAATATTAACGTTCAGCAGTAGCGGATCCAGGATGTCCTCAGATATGCGAATGGGGAATAAAAGCGCAAGAACCGAGGTCACAGGGTGCGGAAGGAAAGTAGATCCCAAAATAGATTTTTTAGCATTTCATTTTTCCCCCTAAGCCCTTTGGAGAAAACTGTAATACTTTTGGCGCATTTTATCATGCTAAAGAACAGACGTCTCCAGGGCACTTGTACTCATCAAAGATGTCATTGGAAAGAGTGGTATGATGGTGGAAAGGCTACTCATCTATACCTTGTGATGGACGGAAATCCAGCACACTGCATTTTGCGTCTCTGAAACTGTGAGCACCGGTTCAGTGGTTTTCAAAATATGGGCTTAGTGCAGCTCTCGGAGGGGTGGTATTGAGAAATCACAAGTAGGGGAAACAAAAAATAACTATAAAAGATGAAACTTATAAAGTAGAAAATTCACACACGCGTGCAACGCACACACACACACACACACAACACACACACACACACACACACACACACACACACACACACACACACACACACACACACACGCACACGCACACGCAGCACACACACACCACACGCACACGCATGCACACACAACACACGCCACACACACACACACACACGCACACGCATGCACACACACCACACGCACACGCATGCACACACACACACGCACACGCATACACACACACACACGCACAGACACAGAAACAAGACACACACACACACACACACACACACACACACACACACACACACACACACACACACACACACACACACACACACACCACACACACACACACACACACACACCTTCCATGGGCTTCTAGCTTGAAAACCACTGCTCTAGGCTATGTGCATATATTAATGAATATATATATTCACTTAAAATAGTCAATGGCAGATACATTTTTTTTTTACACGCACAGTACTATGGGATATTTCTCAAATATATGATCTTAATTATTAACTAATTTCTTTGCATGATTCACCTTTTTGAAAACATGTACTATGCATAAAAAATACTTTCATAAACTATATTTTATCAGGTTAAGTAACTGTCACGTATTTCGCTATCACTAACAAGTACTACAAATTGCATCTGCAACACATGTTCAATGGTGCATACATTGCTTTCTTTACATAACTAGCCAATGTCTGTACTCCTTATAAAAAGCAGTGTATATATCTATATCTATATATCTATAAGTTATAAAATATACAAAATTATATTATTTATAAAATGATGCTTAATAACAAGATCAGGTAAAGTGGCTTCACCGTTTATTAAGATAGCTTATCCCTCCAAGGTTATGATTTAATGCTAGATTTCATTTAGCTTACAGTCTTCAGTTGAAATCTTGAAATGAAAAACAGATAACAGGAAGCAATTATTTCTCACTACCATATCATTTGTGTATAATGTGCTGCAAAACAAAAAATATGATTTATAATGAACAAAATGTTTTTGGCCATATTATCCATCCAAACCATTTAGATGTAAAGACAGTCAAGTAGTTCCACGGAGCACACAACCACTCATTCAGGAAATACATTACACCCTGCACTAATAACTGTGTTCTATTAAAACACACAAGTATGTCTTTTAGTACATTCATGAAACAGTTATTTATGATTAAAATATTCATGAATTATATGGAATAACAGGTCAATCTGAAATCACTGGAACGGTTTGTGATACAGTCATGTCAGTGCCAGTCATGAAGAATTGAAGACAAGAAAAATGTTTATAATGAACTTAATGTATTTATAATGTTTTATGAACTTTTCAAGAAAATAGTTTTAAAAATGTAAATCTGCAAGTATTCTAATTTGATATCAATTGGGAAAGATTCACATAAAGTATTTGTATATCTATAAATAATAATGTTAGTCTTTGAAGAGCTAAGACAATTGAATTTCTGTTGAATGTTGCACTAGAAAATGAATATTTTCATCATACAGATATGAAAGTAGTATCAACTATTAACTATTATTTCAGATCTCACTACACCTTAGCAAAAACAAGTCGCTGATAATATGCTGAGTTTGCCACATTTCAAATTTTCAAGATATATAGGGAAAAAAAAGATGTAAATTTAGCATTATAAAGCCACAAGGTTAATATTCTTACAGTTGTTAGAAATATGGTAAGTCCATGGAATTTGCATTTGAAATATGAATACTAAGTATACATAATTATATACAAATTATGTGTCAAAATATTTCAGGGACCGAAGCAGTGTAAGTGTCTTAAATATGTATCTGAGAGCTATAAATCAGTTACAGGATTGGCATTTTAAATATTGTATGGTAGATTATCAGTTAATTTACAAAAATATCAGCATTAATGAATATATATACACTAGTAAAGATATCTCAACTTGAATTTTCCATAAAAAGATTTAAGCTAATAAAAGTTTGAAGCAATTCAATCTTTAGCTACTTAAAGTTAGGGTTTTGAGGAATAAAAAAATCATTCTGCATAAATTATAGTGTATCTCTTTAGTGACGATATTTCCTAAAATGACAATATGTGGATTGTTTTCTTGCATACAATGAAAAGATTTGAAATGAAGCATTTTTGTCTGTGGAAGGCAGGATTAAATAGCATGACATGAAAAAGTTGAATTGTAGTAGTATGATCAATGCCACTGATGCTGTCAAGCAGATAATAATAATGAGTATAAAAAAAAATTGCTGATAAAGTCAGCAGATGAATTGAAAACATTGTTATCATGCATTTATATTTTATGGTCCCTGAGCAGCTCTTAAACCTAAAATTTACAATTCAAATTCTCAAAAAAGTATTTTTAGCTATCTGGAAGCAAATGTTTTTCTAACTGAAGTTTACTTGATTTTATCTTCAAAAAATGCTTAGGATAAAACAAAAATTGTCTTATTGTGAAGTGCATGATTTAAAATGTACAAAGAATTTTGACAAAAAACAACTATCTTCTAACTATCTTCTTTGCTTCCATCACGAACTCTCCATTTTCTGGTAGCATATTTTATATCTTTTCCTTCACAGTCTTTAAAATGTTTTGTCAAAAAGTATGATGTGATTATTTTTACAGTACTTTTCCTCAAAATGTTTCTGCTATTAAGTTATAAGTTCATAAACTTGACTTCCCATCAAAATTATGCATTATGCATTTGTATACTATATGATTATTTGTAACCTATATAATGTATCAGTTTCCATCACTTCAGATTATATTATACACTCCAGCATACTAATTCTATCTTGCCTTAAAATATGTAGTCTCACATTATAAACATTACATCACTGCAGCACCACAGGTAAGGGTCAATAAAAATCTTACCATTATTTTCCCTTTCCTCATTTCTCTCCTCCATATTTGGCTTACTCCACTGAAGCTAATGCCTTCCTGCTTTCAATCATTAGTGCTACTTTTGCTCTTTCCGAGTGAATCAATGAATCTATACACCTACTTCTACAAGCTTTGCATCCAGTCTCATCAACCATTCTCTTACATTTGAACACTAAACATACAGGACAAATGTAACACGATATAAAAATATTGTATGTGAAATAATATTTTTTTGATAGGGGAACTACTTGACATCTAACTTTTGTTAGTATTATTTTAATACATAACAAGCTGGCCATATTTCAGAAGCTTGTGTTTGTCATGAATGTTTGCTACAGCACTAGATTTTTACATAAAACAGTCTAGTTCATGAAATAAAACATCATATAATGCAAAATGGCACATTTATTATTCTACAGATGAAGTCCATGTTGAGTACCCTCATGGATAGGCTGACACAGCGCCCACTGCACTCGTCTTACAATATTTGTACACATCACGTCATCCGGCTGAGTCAAGTGCCACAGCAGCTGGAAGCTCTGAGGCACGCCAGACTGGTGCCGGACTCAACATTCCCCTTCCTCTTTATCAGCTGGGAGGAAATAAAGTTAGCATGGATGTAGGGTTGTGAGCCGGCAGAAGTTACCGAGTGAGCGTTAACACGAGGAACAGCAGGGTGGCCCTGCGAGTCTCAGGCGTACCAGGATGGATGGAATATTTCTGACAGATAAAATATTTAATTATGAATCTTGAAAAATGCACAAGGAAAAGTCCATGAATCTAATGCTGGCTGCTCCTGTCACTGAATATCATCTCAACAAAACATCATAATATCTACAAAGTTGAGAACACACTATAAAGTATTAAACACTTTTAAGATAATAATTTCAGAATTTTAAACTGATTCATATAAAAAATCAAAATTTGAAAAATCTAAAGCAAATGTCAATCACAATGGAGGTTTAGATCCCTCCATGTAGCTGTGCCTTGAATGAATTTGATAGTCAGATGCAGTAGGGCTACAGCAACCTGTGTATTGAAATCAGGGTCATGGTTGTGTTCAAAAAATTTATAAATTATCCAATAGAACTGGATATATATAATACAATAACATATGTGCAAAACACCACCATGCACCTGTTATTTACACATGTCAAAAAAGTGCAGTCCAGAGTTGAGTGGGATTTGGTCACTGACCAGGTTTGTAATTACCAACAAAAGTTACATAACACTTCAATTGGAATGTTTTAGAATGACAATCTTACAAGAAATCCGCACCATTTTGCGATCAAAGTAACATCTGAACAATGCCAAGTCATACAAAAAATTTATGAATGACATTCAGCTGCAATTTTGTTTTAACACAGTCTTACATAAATTTTCTCCAATTACCAGTTGATAAGCCTAACAACAAAGCTACACAAAACGTCTTTCAAGCTGCTGTTTCCTTAGCTGAATAACAAGTCAACATCACTAATTGCCACTGACTTCCCCATGACAGAATGACCAATATTGAGGCACTATGGACTGAATGGCCTCCTTCCACTCATGACTTAAAGGTGGACACAGGGATCCAGTTCTAAATAATGAGTACAAAATCAAAATTATTGATAAAGTCAGCAGATGAACACAGGAAAATGGGAAGCACTAACAACTACACTAAAATTATGCACTTAAAAGAGGAGTTGCTCAACACAGTGAAGCTACCATATAACTTTAGCTTCTTAATCAATATCCTCGATGTAAACCATCTGTTCATAAAAGCATTGTGCATTCTTTACATTACTCTTTTCTCAGAATAGATCACCTAGCTAAAAATGTTTGTTTAATAAAATAATGAGTCATTCTGTACACAATGTATAGTAATTATGTATACAATGCTAAACCTAGTGAAGTCGGTTCATTGCTCGGTCTTCACCTCCAGCCCAGAGTACATGGCCAGTAGTATCAGCCAACTCAGTCCTTCACACTGCACTATTCAGCTTCACTCCACATTTCAAGGCATCTTGTCGCTCTATAATCACTTTCCAATTCTCAACAACAATTTTGAGTCAGTGCTCAACCTTGCATATATTCTTTGGGAGCTCAGATTCATACCAAGACTGGTAGAACTTCATTTTGCACATTTCAAGATAAAGTGAAGCTACGACCATTGTCACATCATGACCAAGCTTAGGCTGCCTTGTGATATGATTGGCTGCGAGATATGTCGTGGAAGATCGCACGCAGAAGACCACACACTGAGCTGCACTGGGCAGGGGGGGTTAGAGGGGCCCTGGTGTCCTAACAACTGTTCCAAACTGTCCCATCCCTTGCCATTCTCTTGGCTGCTTAAAAAATATACACTAAACACATATAATTGCCCTATGTCACGATCCCCTGCCACATGGATACGCCACACACTGCCTCTCTCGCACAGGCCTCGGGAGTGGCTCAGCTGTACACACCAGCCCCTTGCTGGGGGGGCTCCACAACCCCTGATGTAGCCTTGGGTGGGAAGGACTACGGCTGCTGCCAGTGGTGGTCAGGTCACTAGTGAGGTCCAGCACCTCCATGGCTTAGATGATCACCCTGGAATAAGAACATTGATTCAGTATGAGGGCCAGTTCAGTAGGGTAATTTCTGAATTAAGATGAAAGAAAATGCAAACACTCATGTTCAACTAATCTTATAATGGAATCTACAAATACGAAGAGAAAGTTATATTATAATCTGTACTCACGGGCAGGTTTGGGAAGGAGGAGCCATGCTGGAAGGGTGTGGGAGATGAGGTGGTGGTAACTTAGAGCCGTCAGACTTCTCTTCTTCACGTCGCTTCAGACAAGCTGCCTTAGGGTTCAAATTACGTTCTGCAATTCAGAAAGAAAACTCCAAATTAGTAAACAATTGACTTACATGCTTTACCATCCCAAGTCCAGAGAAACACTATATAATAAATATATATGTATACATATTTATCAATTGTGAATGTATTCTTTCTTAATATCCCTGTTTATATATCTTGTATATATATGTATATAGTAAATAATTTTAGGTAAGTCTCCATTAAATAATTTCTCTTCTTAAAGCCTAGATCAGTCCAAAAATTATATAATGATTCTAAATCTCTAATTTCTATGCAACCTTACAATCAGCAAATATCAAAGATTATTGTAATCAGAATTTAGTTTTGGTGAAACTGAATCATATGCTTATAACTGAATCAAAAGTGTGTTTGGTGTGTGTGTGTGTGTGTGTGTGTGTTGTGTGTGTGTGTGTGTGTGTGTGTGTGTGTGGTGTGTTGTGTGTTGTGGTGTGTGTGTTGTGGTGTGTGTGTTGTGTGTGTTGTTTGTGTGTGGTTGTGTTGTTGTGGTTGTGGTTGTGTGTGTGTGTGTGTGTTGTGTGTGGTGTGTGTTGTTGTGTGTGTGGTGTGTGTGTGTGTGTGTGGTTGTGTGTGTGTGTGTGTGTGTGTGTGTGTGTGGTGTGTGTGTGTGTGTGTGTTTGTGGGTGTTGTGTGTGGTGTGTGTGTGTGTGTGTGTTGTATGTGTGGTGTGCATGCATATGTATGTGTTATGGGAACATGCCTACATGTAAATATACAGTCAATAATCCCTAAAAAAAATCTAAAAAAATGAAAAAATAAAGACCTTTAGAAAGCACATATGTTAAAATTATCCTTAACATCTAAAATATGTGTACCATAAACCAAAAATCCAAACATGCATCACAGGCTTACATAAGAAAACAACCCATAAGAACACAAAATTAGAAATAATACAGTAGGAGAGAAACTGATGCAGAAATCAATCAATTGAAGAGTGCTTTGGAAGCAAATGAAAAGGCTTAAAAGTATCATTAACAATAAATCAAAATTAAAAACAAAGAAACCGGAAAGACAAATCTTACTTCAAGAGATTGGCTTAAAGGAAAGAAACACATGAAATTTCCCATTCATTTTGCAAGGGTAATGGTAGGCAGTCACTGTAGTATCTCAAAACTTTGTAGTGTGGATGATTTCCCTGCTTTATGTTCCTGTGAACATGTATCGTGTAGATGGAAATACACAAAGTGTTATGTGCATGTTCATGCACTTAAAACGTGCAAATCTGATTTTTATACTTCCTGGACATGCATGAGAAGTTTTTTTTTTCATATCTAAATGTGTTTGTGTATGTGTAATGTATGTACACACAGACAAACAAGCTTGTTTTGTTTTTTCTTTACCAGTTTGTCTGTTGGGATTGTGCAAGATTAAGTTTTTGCCTTGAGATTCAAACAGGTCTTTATTACCACCACCCATCATTCCCTAATAAACTGGTTCATTTATCAAAATTTATAACAAAAATTATTAAAGAGCTAAGCTTAACCAGTCATCAGCTATCAAGTACTTTGTGTAGGGAATAGTGAACTCCTCACCCAAAGAAAAGAAAAAAGAAAGAAATTTCCTTGAAGTTTCCCATGGCAAACATATAAAAGAAAAACTAAAATATATAATTACAGAAAAAAGATCAAAAGATCCCTCACACAGCAGTGCTGATAACTATGTAATCAAACGAAGGCTTAAAATGAGACACCAAAGACCACTCAGTCTATTAGTAATCAACGTGTACCTCTGACTTGCTGTTCGAGCGACATTATAACATCTACGGCCATGTTGAGAATACCAAGCTTAGTTTGGGGCTTGTCAGTTTTCAGATGTGTCATGCACATCCTCCCAGTTCCTTGAGAGCGTCGTTTATGTCACGGATTCTGATCCTGGGGATGAAACAACGGGTGATGGCGTGTTAGTGCTTATTAGTTAGTGGGTGGATAAGGATCCCAAGCTGGGTTGACCTCTTCCCTACCCTACCCTCAGCCCCACCTGCCCATTCAGCACCATTGAGAAGTAATCCCAACTAATTTTGACCGCTTTCTCTTGTTGAGAGCAAATTAGCATGGCAGTTATGGTGGTGGGGTCAGGAGGGGTGAGGGAGGGTGAAGGCAGTGTTAGCCCCAGAGGTGGGATCAGCTTGTGAGGCTTACCTCTAACCTGCTGCTCCAGGGTGGTGATCACCTCCACCGCCATGTGCAAAATGTTTAGCTTGGTCTGCGCCTTATCATTCTTACAATGGATCATACACATACGACCTAATTCCTTAAATGCTTCATTTATATCACGAACTCGTATTCTGAAAGGCAAAACCGTAAATGTCATCATCATTGATTACCAGAGGGATTTCATATGTGAAAAGTGCCGTTGCTGCACTGATGAAATGGTGAAGCGCGTAAAGAGTTCAGAATACAACTTGCATGAAGTGAAAGAGCAGCCCCTTCATATCTGGGTTATTTGGTAGTAACAATTAATGAGCACATTTACGGTTTCCAAGCCTACTCTAGATAACATCTAAGTAGTAGAATGCCTCCTTAACTAAGATATAAGGACATAAATCTGTAAGCGAAATATTTATATTATAATGAAGAAACACACAGTCATCTGTACGTAAAAAAAATAGGACGTAAACACCAATATGAAGGGGAAATAATGCAAAATAAGCAAAAGCCAAGAAATAAAATTAAAAGAACTACTATAACTTACATTACTATCACTGGATCAACAGAATGTAAATCAAAAGAAATACAGGAATTATTTATATATTGTAATGTGCATCACTGACATTTAGTGCAAAACTCTGAAGTCTTTTGACAATTTCTTTTTTTTAAGTTTCTTTGAAAAATTATAACTAAAAAATAAGTCACATAAAACAACTAAGGCATTACTAGTCAGCTTCCATTCATTCAATCTCTTCTGGAGTCAACAAACATGCAAATCACTTAAAATTACAGAAAAATACTTTGCCAAAAAACATTTATAATGCTGCAAAACAGACCTATGAACTTGACTAAAAATATATATATATTAAACAATAATTTTTTTTCTTTAAATTCCACATTTTCTTCCTTCTTTGGGCTTAAATTACCAAGAAAGCTACTACTACAAATATAATCAATAATTTAGTAGAAGGTTGATCAGAGGTAGTGCTGCATAAAGCAACACACTTGAAGAAAACAGTTTCAACACCTACAACTTTATCAAGAAATAAAAACAAAACTGATTCACTAACTAAAAGAAAAAAATTACCCACCTTTCCCTGGCATTATTAGCTTGACGTTCGTTCTTTCTCCCTCAGTGCTTTAGTCTCTGGATCTGTACATTCCTCATCCTCCGTGCTGGAACCAGAACTATTGACGATTAATAATATTAGTTTACATAAAATCTTGAAATAAAAAATAAACTTAATTTCTTAACATCATGTTATCAACTTGACCACTTCTTGAATATTTTATATTTGGATGGTCATCACAACTTAACCATTTCATTATTTCAAAAGCTAACTATGGCAATTATGCTACAATCTAAGTTATCTCATACCAATGAAAGTGCTCCCTTAAAGTGTTAGTATGCCTACTAGACAATGAACTTCAATTAAGAATTTCATTATCATTTTTGATAATGTAGTCCCCATCACCACCCATAGACATGTAATTCTTTGACATAACTCTCTTTCTGATTCTATATTGAATGATTTTCTTTAATATAGTCTCTCATGCTAAACCAATACACTCGACTCACTGCAGAGCCGAAGTCGGAAGTCCAAGCAGGGGTGGGCCATGTGGTTTCAGAGGGTGAGGCAAGCTGGACTGGGATAGACTAAAAAGGGAAATGTTTCAGTGAAACAAAACTTTTTTCTCTCTCTTAGAATTCAATTATATCAAACATTGCATGAAAGTAATGCATATTTCCTTTACATGCAATTTCAAAAGAAGCATTTTCTGCTATTACTACAATAAAGGGGCATGAAAAAATCTGTCTTTGCAAAGGCCCAGCACTGCTCGACATCATGTAATGGTAAAGAGCAGAGCAACTACAAAAATGCATGTGATGTTGGACGTGTACAAACTTAGCTCAACAGTCACATAAAATATCATATGAGGGCAAAGAAAGATGATGGGCAATAGTGGGAAGTTGGGAAGGAAGAAAGGAAGGGCAAGTGAAAGAGAAACAGATTAACCACAAATGATATTTCAGCACTATCCGACTTAGTTTGTGTCCAACTCAACATGTACGAACAAAAATGTCAGTACCTGCGAGAGCGTTTGCCACCTTTGGCTCCTGCAGGCATAAACCTGCTACTGTAGTGGGGGTAAGTGGGAGCTGGTGAGGTCCTCTGATTTTATCTCCACTTTCTCCTTCACATCACCTAAGCCTAAAAGGAAATTTGGAAAAGGGTTAGGATACATTTAATCTGATGAAGCACAGCTTTCAAACATGCATTCCTGATATAATCTTTTGATATAATCTTTTTTACATAAAAGGAAAAAACTGACACAAGACCAGATCAAACATAAAGAATCCATACCTGGTACACCTAGGGCCTTCAGATCTTGCGAGTGTGATCCCAAGGATGTGAAGGTAGAGTTAGGTGGGCCCCCCAAGTGTGAATCCAAGGCTGATGGGTAGGGAGGAAGAGAACCCCCATGTGTTGGGGGCCTAGTGTGAACCAGCACCTGGCACACCTCCTGAGGTTTCTGCATGGCGCTGTAAGACGTTGACAGCATCTTCCAGTCGTTCATCTATCCTTGACCCCTAATTTGGTAGAAAGATTAACAATTAAGAATTCTGAATCCCTGATAAAGGTTGACTTGGGCTAGATGAGAAGGAAAGAGCAAAGATAGAGAAAGCGAGAGAGAGAAAAAAAGAAACAGTGAAGACAGTTCATAGAAAAATTATGAAAGTAATATCATAAAGTTCTTATTTTGAATCTGACTTCCCTAAATGCAACCAAATCAATAACCTTATTCAGTTCAATCAAGAACATCCAGAGTATTGATATATCTAAAGCAATAGCCTTGACAGTTGCAGTAAAAAAATATTGTATGATAAGCAGGAGTGAGCTATAAGAAATGTTTTCTATCCTAATCTACATAAAAATACAAATAAATATCAATATAAATATCCATCGCAGTAGCAATCTTAATGCCATATACATATACAAATACATAATATTTTCTTGCCTTTGGGCAGCTGTCAGCATATGCATTGTATGAGAATAATATCAGCATCTCTGTACATAAAATTATGCACATACATAAGAAAGTGGATGCTTGTAAGTAGACCAGTAAGAGAAAGCGCAGTAACATTACATATCATATACAAAAACAGTGAGTTAAATCAAATTTGCATTGCAGATTATTAACACAAGATTAACATCAATGGCATAACATGTAAGCCATTCCTGCTTATCACACAAACTCACATAAATCAAAGCAGAAGTGAGAGTGCGTCATTTACCTCAATACCGTGATCTCGAAGGTAGTCGATTGCTGATTCTAAGTTCTCCTCTGGCATACGTGGCTACAGTGCAACAAAGAAGAAAAGAAGAAAAAAAATGTAAAACAACCATGCAAACTTAAGTGAAAAAGGTGAACTAGAAACATGCATACAGTATGTGGTGCAGATTTTTACAGACTAGTCAAATTGTTCATGCTCTGTCAGTAAACAAGACAACATGCAGTGTTGTCATAAGAAGTGAAAAAATGAAGGTACTGAATAAACTACTAGACTTTTTTTTTCTAATGTACTACTTTTTCCCATTCCAAAACTTTTAAAAAGTTTTGAAAAATATTGCCTTTCCTTAAGAGTGATTCACATGACACCTAATTTTCAAAACAAGGAGCCAGGAAAGTGGACAAGTCAATCTTTCTCATACTGATTAACCCTATTACCAATAACCCAAGATCATCTAACATATATAAATAAAAATAAAATAAAGTAAATAATAATTCACCTACAACTACATTCCATCACTTTATGCATGACACACTTCTAAGATACATAATACAGATAAAAGACAAAAGATTAACAATGGCTCCTCTCTCTTGTATTACACATAACCCAGAGAACAGGTTGTAAACTCTAGAGCTAGAGAGACTACAGTCATGCAAGTAAGGTCTAATCAAGGTGGGATGCTGGCAAGCTCGGTGCGCCTGTTGCAAAATATGCTATTAATTGAAAACACTGACAATGTGGCACAGAAGTGTTTTCAAAAACAGTACTGCTCCTAATTATCCGATGCACAAGACCAAAAACTGCCATGTTAATATATTGGTGGCAAAATACAAGTCTGGGAATGGAAGCTTACCATGGGAAGGGAACGTTCATAGTGAGGTGAGGTGGGTGTATGGGGCTGTGGCCACTGTTGTTGGGCCCCGCTAGGTGCCCCAGAGGTGAGAGGGGGCGGGGAGGTTGCTGATACTGGGGTGCCGGGATTACTGCTGTAGCTGCTCGGCGCTGCTGCTCTCCAGGGTAAATCTAACGGACATAATATTCCATCATGATGATAAAGCTCTCACTGATTTTTGTAACCTCCCCTAAACCTGACCTTGTTAACAACTTGAGCTTGGAATGAGTATCAATCCAATTTTATTTGTCATCTTCAATATCATGTGAAAACAGTATTTACATAATGTCAGATTACAGTGTTCATAAACTACAAAGTGGTCCTCTGCCAAAATATAATGATAGTTCACATATTACAAAATAACAAATAATGGAATATGTTATATTTTGTTTTCTTCATCTGCTACGTTTGTTTCCCCTAAGAAAGATCCTAACAGGAATGGGTGGAAAGGAGTACAGGTATAAGACTTTATTTCTGATCATTCACTGTAAATATCAATGCTTTGTAGATTACAATCATATGCATTAAGAGATATACATGACATTCCTGTCTTTATTTACAAGCCAATGTGTTGTGAATTTGTGCAGTTGTGCTTGAGCAAATAAAACAGTGCATCAGCTGTATAAACTTCAAACAATGACCACGCAGGTACTCACTGAGGACATCGCTTTGCCAATTGAATCTGCTGAGTTGCCTGTTGCTGTGGCCTGGGTGTGGTTAGGCACAGGGGAGTGTGTGTAAAGGGGGGAGGAGGTTGCCACAGAGCCACCACCAGTTGTGCTACTCGCACCAGGACCACGGAATGAAGACATGGGTGGCAATCCAGATGCCATGTGATCATAACCCTGAGAAGAAAATATACATATTGCCATTATAAAATCAAAAACTGTTCATTAGCCTAAATCAATGAAAAATACTATAAGTACTTTTTGTCAAACACTTGCATATGTTTATCTTGTACATGAAACCTGATCACAAATGTATTTGTCTGATAGCACTATTTCTTGGATCAAACACAATACCAACTTACCATAGGTTCTGGTATGTGTGATGGCATGTAGTGTGGCTGGGTGAGGTGCGAGGTAGGACCCATCATGGACGGTGCTGGGTATGGGTAACTTGCCACAGCTCCTGCGGCTGCAGCTGCGGCTGCGGCTGCTCCAGTGCCGCCACCGCCTGTTGCCCCCCACACGTCACTTCCCCCACTCTCTAAAATACAACCATCTTCAGATTAAACTGTCTTCAATGTATGATAGAGGGGAACTATGAATTGTCAGGACAACACAAATATATAATACAAAATATTGAAGACCAACATGTCTTTTAAATAATCCAAATACTCTCCAGTATATACTACATACAAATAAATAATGGAGTAAAATAATGCAACAAATACTTGCCCATAAAGTATGATTCCCCATAGAGCCCTCCAGGCTTTGGTGATGTGTACCGCGGAGAATCCTGGTTGAAGTCATCCGAGCCATACTGGAAGGAAGAGGCAGTGAAATCAGTAAATCACATCATAAAACATCCACCACATAATCATGTGCGTGTGTGTGTGTGTGTGTGTGTGTGTGTGTGTGTGTGTGTGTGTTGGTGTGTTGTGTGTGTGTGTGTGTGTGCATGGGTATGTGTGCTGTGGTGTGTGCATGGGTATGTGCGTGTGTGTGCGTGGGTATGTGCGTGTGTGCATGGGTATGTGCGTGTGTGCATGGGTATGTGCGTGTGTGCATGGGTATGTGTGCGTTTATGCATGGGTATGTGCGTTTGTGCATGGGTATGTGCGTTTGTGCATGGGTATGTGCGTGTGTGCATGGGTATGTGCGTGTGTGCATGGGTATGTGCGTGTGTGCATGGGTATGTGTGTGTGTGCATGGGTATGTGCGTGTGTGCATGGGTATGTGCGTGTGTGCATGGGTATGTGCGTGTGTGCATGGGTATGTGCGTGTGTGCATGGGTATGTGCGTGTGTGCATGGGTATGTGCGTGTGTGCATGGGTATGTGCGTGTGTGCATGGGTATGTGCGTGTGCATGGGTATGTGCGTGTGTGCATGGGTATGTGCGTGTGTGCATGGGTATGTGCGTGTGTGCATGGGTATGTGCGTGTGTGCATGGGTATGTGCGTGCGTGCATGGGTATGTGCGTGCGTGCATGGGTATGTGCGTGTGTGCATGGGTATGTGCGTGTATGTGTGCATGTGTGTGTGCATGCTTGCATGGATTCATGCATGTGTGTGTGTGTGTGTGTGTGTGTGTGTGTGTGTGTGTGTGTGTGTGTGTGTGTGTGTGTGTGTGTGCGTGTGTGTGTGTTGTGGTGTGTGTGTGTGTGTGTGTGTGTGTGTGTGTGTGTGTGTGTGGTGTGTGTGTGTGTGTGTGTGTGTGTGTTGTGGGAATGTGCATGTGCATGAGCGAGTATCGTCAAAAATAAAAAGCGAGGATCTCTGCAACTTGAAGATGATCTTACATACAGCCTGATTGGGTTAGCCTCCACTTCACCAAGAGTTACTTGCATCGATATGCATTTCTATCCAGTCACCGCTTAAAGCCCGCCACCTCACTTCAAAACTATTGTGTGCGAAGCCGAACCCAGCTCCCGTCAGTCAGCACGCGAGCCAGATAATATGGTGAAGCTCAAGTATAACCCGAACAGTGGTGGGGGTCTCCTTCATGCCAGGAAGGTAATATCGGGTAATATCACTTATCGTGTCGGTGGGCCAGCAAACCCAATAATGTAGCCCGGGCGGCCGCCAACGCCTCATCCAATAATGGGTAGCCTATTGCCCCCTCCCCTCCCCCTCTCCCTCCCCCTCCCCCTCGTTCCTCTCTCCCCAGCGCCCTCCCGTCTCTTCCCTGCCCCTTCAACATTACCGTGTTCCCCGCCTGCCTGCTCCTCCTCCTCTTCCTCTCCAGCGCCGCTCACCACCACTACACGAGAACAAGTTATGACCAATATCTACATACGCAGCCTAACAATAACTCAACCATTACGCAATATTCAAAAATCTTTCCGTTGGTACTTCGCGACTCGCACCGGCGACCCACATGCTGGCGGAAGGAGGCTTCGGGGGGAAATGTACGGTAAAACTATAATGCTCTTCATTGAAAAGGAAAAGGGGCTGTTCACATCCTCTGAGACGCCGAATGTGGCTGATCCGAGTGTTGGTGCGGGAGGTAACCCGGGCGAGGGAAGGAAATGGCTTTGTCTGGTAAATAATGGCGGAGAACCTTCTATTCCCCCTAAACCGAGCCCTTCCCTTCCCCCAAAGTCTCCCCTCACTTAACTCGCTCACAGACCATCACGATCACTCATTCTCTCTCTCTCTCTCTCTCTCTCTCTCTCTCTCTCTCTCTCTCTCTCTCTCTCTCTCTCTCTCTCTCTCTTCTCTCTCTCTTCTCTCTCTCTCCCTACACACACACGAGGAGGATAGTCACCTACTTTCGTGAAAAGCTAAAGCCTCCCTGCGAATAACAGCTGAGCTACGTAGAGCAACACGGGTATCTCAGGAGACAAGAGAGCTCTTGGGTCTTGTCAGAGCGCTTGTAAGAGTGACGGCGAAGCGCAAGGAAGGAAAGGAAGTTGATAGGGGGAGGAGGAGGAGGAAGAAGGGGATTGGTGTCGCTGATGAAGGTTACTAAACCAGGATCTTTCAAAAAAAAAGTAAGGGAAAAGGAGAGAGAGAAAAAAAAGCCGGGTAATTAAAAATCTCTTAACCCGACATGATACATTCGACATTATCACGCCCCCGAGGAACCCACTGGAAGCTGGGCGGCGTGACCTTACACAGCGTGGGCGTCCCTCCACAACAATGGTGTCCTGTAATTGATAAAGGAAGGAAAAAGTCTTGATGGCGCACCCGGGGGCCCGACGCCGTGCCACCGCCGACGAAACAAAACGAAAGTGTCCGAAACCCAAGTGCGGGGAGTTTAATATGAGACTTATTGAAGCTATAAACTCGGAGTAAATAATAAATGGACACTCATAAAGCTAGGAAGTGCCACGCCGGACATCAAGATGGGAACCAAAGAGGCGTAACCCTGTCTGTCGGTTAGGCTCATCTTCGCTACACAAAACAACGTCAACCTGTTCCTTATCCTCGTCGTTGGCACTCTATGGCTTTTCATTAAGTTGAGAAGATAATTTCGCGTTGCTGAATATGAAGAGTGCACTCAAGAAAATTACTTAATACGAGCGATAAATGGGTGGGTGTAAACATCGGCGCGGCGGTAAATACACGAATTAGTCCCCGTCAAAACTGTTGGGAAGGAGGAATTTTATGTCGGCATCTTGTCCACAGGTACACTTCTCACTGCTCTCTCCCCGGCTGCGGAATGGTCTGACATCCCTGCGTAGGGAAGTCAGCAACTGCGGCGCCGAAGACCGCTGGAGAAGTTAACCTCGGATGCTATCTGGGGATCGCGTAGGAGCAGCGGATCGTCCTCAGTTCTGTGGCTCAGTGCGGCGGTGCGCTCGCCGACACACCGCAACCTCCGCCTCCTCCTCCTCCTCCTCCTCCTCCTTAACAAAAATGTATTTCAAATTGCGAAAGAAACCTGGAACTTTACGAGAGTCGGGTTTCATAAAGAGATGGAGCAGCCGTATTCCCGCCGACGTGCTCTTCTCCCAGGGTAATAACCCGCGAATATCTGATGTGTGCTGCACCCTCGCACCCATCACCCCGTGTCCTACCTCACCCTTACTCCGCACTGTGTTGTTTCATCTGACACCCTATTTAGAGCCACTGCCAGGGCTGGTGCACCCTTACAACATAAGGATATCATGCGACCCTGACAGCGGCATGTATGTCGACATGTGACGACTGCATGCGATCCAATAACCTTTCATACCAGACAAAGAGTTTGTTTAATGTATGTCGTCAACTAGCTTGACCAAGCACCCATACACTCTTAATAGCTTCTTCTGTCTTGACATTTACATCATACACGGCCCGCCTGACGCGAGGCTGAGAGGGACACATCTCGGAAAGCTTCAGGGCTGAGGCGACCCCCTCGGCTGGGACGTGATAAAAACGTGTTTCTTTCTCCCCGCTCGCACTAATTCAAACAAATTACGTAAATAGTCCAATAAAAAGGGTTGCTCAAGAGCGTCCTGTCACACGGGGATAAAACTCCCACCAAATCGTCGCGCCTTTGTTGTGGGCGGGGCGGCTCGCGGGAGAGAATATGACATTTCGTCTCCCTTGAGAGTACTCGTGAATGATTGATGGACTCAGATTGAAGTACACTTCTCTTTCCGACGACTCCGTTAGCTATGATTTAGTTCACCTTAATACCATCCCCTCTTCCTCATCTCCCCCCCCCATTCTCTCTCTCTCTCTCTCTCTCTCTCTCTCTCTCTCTCTCTCTCTCTCTCTCTCTCTCTCTCTCTCTCTCTCTCTCTCTCTCTCTCTCTCTCCCATTACTAAACACGAAAATGAGACCAACACTGCAAACAGGGAGGATACTCAGACCGCTCCCTGTCAAATCTGTCCTAAATATCGTCATGAATGCTCGAATACAGACTATGATATCCGACGCTTCTTAACCTTTATCGATGAGAATTTAGAAAAGCTACGAGATGAAATCGAAATGTCAACGGGAATACGATATTGGCGGCTGGAGCAGAGGAGGAACACCTTCACACATAATTTACGGGTCTCCATGAATACCTCAACTCAGCACCTGGACGCACCTGCGGGTATTACTCACGATTACTTAACTAAAAAGAGGTAAGTCATATCCTCGCTTTTTGGTCATATTACTGCTCTTACTCTAAAAAATGGAGCCTGAAAAATCACATAAGCCGGGCTTGGTTGATGCAACTAGGAGATTGAAGTAGGATGAGGAGGACGCGAGAAACTATAAATAATAAAAACGCACGTCTCCCTAAGGATGATTTGCAAGGGCAAAAGTGTGAGGGCGGCATTAGCGGCCTCGGCGAGGACCCTCTTCTAGGGAGCCCCCGTAACAACCTAGTTTCTCTGCCGCCGCCGGACGCCGGGGATAAAAAGCGCAATATGAGGGCGTCCACGTCCACCGTGTCCAGGCTGGGGTCATCATAAAATCATCAGAGACCTCCTTCGCCCCCGGCCGGGAGGGACCTGCCGGAAGGGACATGCCTCGGCCACGAAGGACGGCTGCGGGAGGGACGCGGCCGCCGCCACCACAGCGACGGCGGCGGCGAGGGAGCGGGGACGCGGAGGAGCCGCAGTTCAGGAGGAAGGTGTGTGTGTGTGTGTGTGTGTGTGTTGTGTGTGTTGTGTGTGGTGTGTGTGGTTGTGTGTGTGTGTGTGTGTGTGTGTGTGTGTGTGTGTGTCGTGTGGTGTGTGTGTGTGTGTGTGTGTGGTGTGTGTGTGTGTGTGTGTGTGTGTGTGTGTGGTTGTGTGTGTGTGTGTGTGGTTGTGTGTGTGGTTGTATGTATGTGTGATTGTGATTGTGATTGTGATTGTGTGTGTGTGTGTGTGTGAGAGAGAGAGAGAGAAGAGAGAGAGAGAGAGAGAGAGAGAGAGAGAGAG